CCTGGAAATAGCATGGTTGTTTTCACTTGGAACAACCCACTGTTGGATTATATTTCTTATATTTCTTCTGCTGTCAACTTTGGTAACTTGGTCAGAATTGCTATAGCTCTAGTCACAAGTAAATCATTGCTTCATGTGAAATTCCTCATTTTTATTGTAGAATTGTTAAATGTAATCCAGACTCATATAATGATTTATTTCCCTGCTGAGTAGAAAGGACATTAATCAAATATCTCCAAAATCATTATAGTCACCACAGCAGCCAGATTGAACTCAAATCCAAATTATCTCTAGAATCCTTTATGCATCCCAAGTCTTTTCTTCTCTCACCCTTCTGGTCTTAGGAGAACAAATATTACTCTCAGCAGCCATTAGTTGAAACAGTCATCATGATTTTTTTGGACAGCGGTATGTAATTAACATTCATATATGTATTTCACTTGGGTTCCCTACATGTGCCAACCACTGTTGGGTTGGGAGAGTGGATATTTTAGAAATGGAAAAACGAAGATTCAGAAGCTAAATGACTTGTCCAGGATGCCACAGGTAGCAAGTGGTCCTGGTTCTTTACCATGGGCACCCCAACAAAGCAAAACAAATGCCTTTGGTTTCTTCCACTCCTTCAGCCAATTCCATTAGATCAAGATGCCCTTTTGTCTAATGTGGTTTTTTCTTTCAGACAATGAAAGTAGCATGAACTTTGAAATTCTGTCAGCCTAGGATGAAACCCCAATGCTGTTGCCAGCTGTGTAACCTCAGGCATGTACAAAATCTCTTCCAAGTGGAAAAGCAGATAAATTAGAACTCACCTCGTGGAGCTGCTATGAAGTTTTTAAATGATAATTAAGTGGCTTATTACAGTGCCTGGCACAGAGAAAGTAATCCAAAATGTAAATTCCGATCCTTTGATGAGATCATGTCCTCTGTGTGCATTTAGATTACTTATTTTGTATTTACAATGTATGGCAGTGATGACCAAGGGAATAATAAAGGAAAAACAAAGCTCAGGTAAAATCAGCACACATCCTCTAAGCATAATAACTACCTGGTCCAACATCTGTATCATGACAATGAATTTAGATTGGAGTGAAAATCTCTTAGTAATTCATACATGCAATTAGCTTAAACCTTACACTCAGAAAATTATGAAAAATATAGAGATTCTTTCAATCTAGTGTTACAAGGTACACTGCTAAAGGATGCATGAACCTAAGTATATCTAGTTAGTCTATCATTCATTCATTTATTAAATAAACATTTATTGCATTCCTGTTATGTGTCTGGCTTCCTAGAGTCTGGTAAGTTTCCAGAGAGAGAGGCACCCAAAAGTTATGGTGGGTGTTCTTGAATTCTAATGCATCCCCAGTTGACATGGAAAAACTTCAAGTAAACTTGGAATCCATGTGATTTCAAAATAGACCTGAAACTAAGGAATCCTTGCCACTGATAAGCTATTTCATGATGGAAGGTGTTAGGAAGGGAGAAATGACCCCTTTGATTCTGTATCCCCAGTGTTAGAAAGAATAGAAAGAATCAGCAAAAGAAAAAGAGCCATAGCAACAATGTGATTTAGGGTGGGGGCCTTGGGCCACTCCCACAATGTTATTTAGGACAGGGGTTATGGATCACATGGTATCAGTCAACCTCTCAAGGAGGTAGAGACTAAAGTCAGGGATGTAGGTGGTCTACCAGGTTTATGTGATTGAGCCCCTAAAGACTCTGGACATCAAGACTCAGGTCAGCTTTTCTGATTGGCAGTACTTAAGATTTGCCACACACTGATGTAGAGAAAGAAAGCTACCTGTGACTCCACTGGGAGAGGACAGAAAGAAGCTCTGCATTTGGGACTAATACTAGGAGTTGTTTCTACTCACAACACTGCTGACACCAAACGTGTGGGTTTTCCACACAAAGCAATTCTGCAGTTCTCTACAGACAGCAACTTGTTCCTCTTAATGTGGGCTCTGGTTTTAATCATGAATGTCAGAGGTGAAAGAAGCCCAAGATCGTCTAGTCCATACCCCTATTTTGTAGATAAGAAAACTGAGGCCTACATCAGCAGACAGACTTACCTAAGACTGTACATCTAGTTAGAAGCAGAGGTGGGACTGGGCTGGCTGTAGGCAGAGACACCAGACAACATTTGCTGCCTCTTGAGCAGACGACGTCATGATGAAATCAGTGTTTGGTTCTTTAAACTAGTCTTGAATCCTCCTGAAGTTCACATGGTGTACTAGTCCATTTTTGTTGCTTATAACAAAATACATGGAACTGGGTAATTTATAAAGAAAATGAAATTTATTGCTTACAGTTTCTGAGGCTGGAAAGTTTAAAGTCCATCTGGTGATGGTGACAGTGACCCAGGGGTCTCACATTGTAAGATGGTGGAAGCAGAGAGAGCAGAGAGACAGACTCTCCTTTTAAAGCCCTCAGAACCACACCCCTGACCACCATTTTTAATCCATTCACTACTGCACGGTCCTACAATCCGATCACTTTCTCAAGGCTCCACCTTTCAATTACCATAATAGGATTTCCCACCTCTTAACAGTCACAGTGGGGGCTAAGTTTCTTTCTTTTTTCTGACTGGTAAGGGGATCACAACCCTCGGCATGGTGTGGTCCGCACCACGCTCAGCCAGTGAGCGCACCGGCCATCCCTATATAGGACCTGAATCAGCGGCCTCGGCACTCCCAGCGCTACACTCTCCAATTGAGCCACGGGGCCGGCCCAGCTAAGTTTCTAATACATAAAGCATGGGGACAGAATTCAAGCTTCAGGGAGTTTGGGGGGGACATAATTCAATCCACTACACGTGGTGAACTAAATATGCCAGTGATGGGAGAATTGTAGAGATTATATAAGAATGCTGCTTTCTGTGCAATATTTAAGAGTATAAGCTGCAAAACCTAAAAACCCACATATTATGAATTTATATAAAAATTGTTCCTCCAAAAATGACAAGATGTTTTATGTGAAAATTTTAGGCTACAAGTTTGAAGGCACTGAACATCACTGCTAAGGGAAATTCTCTTTTAGAAAGATGCTTAGGGACACACTTAGAGATTGATAAATTCTAATACCTTGTTTCTAAATATCTTGCATAGAATCATAAGACATACTCATCCCCTTATAAGGAAAGTTTAATGGTGGGAAATGATTATGATTCAATTTTAAGTGAAAAAGTGTGATCTGAAATATGTAAAACATTTTGTCATTGGAAAAAATGAAAGTATTCCAAAATATTAATAGTAATGGGTTGTGTGTTGATTTGTTTCCTTTTAAATATTTTTTTGGCACTTGCTAACTCTTCTGCAATGAATATACGTAACATTTATTCTTAAAAAGGTATTATATCTGTATATGTGTGTGTGTGAATATATATGCACACGTACTTAACATGAATATTTTACAAGAGCCCTTATCTTCTTGGTACAGACATGGTGTTAGTTCTCACAACCATATCGTAGCCAGAGTATAATTATTAAAGGGTGGTAGATTGTGGGGGAGGAGGAGGTTATAAAATCACTTTCCTAGACGTATAGGGATCCGCAGTTCTAGTCAGACTGCACCACCCAGTCACGGGCAGACAGGCTGTGAATAACCAAATGACCCTCGATGTTATTTAAGATGGTGGGAAACAGCAGGGCCCCAGGTGGACAGCATCACCCACTCCCCACCCTGTTACCCCCAAACATGAAAGTTTGAGGAAAATCTCCACTTTTTTCCACCCTGCTACTCAATACCTTTCTTTTCAATACTCTGATTAACCCTCCCCCACCACCACCACTATTCACAAGAAAAAAAGGAAAAAAATCCTCACAGTTGGAGTTGTTGCCTTCACTCCAGGACACTGGGGACAGGGGGTGGGGACAGGAAAAAGACCGGGTACCTTTTGTTAACACGTGTGCATTAATATCAGTCAGGAATAAGTTTAACCTGTTTGTTGACTTGAAAGGACAGTGTTCCACTCGATGAGTATAGAAAGTATAGAAAGGATACACTTTGGGGGTGGTTGGCTCAGCTGGTTAGAGCATGGTGGATAACACCAAGGTCAAGGGTTCAATCCCTGTGCCAGCCGCCAAAAGTAAGTTCATAGAAAAATGGAATTAAAAGATTACACTTGGATGAAATCGTACAGTCCAGGGTTTTGTAGGAGGACAACCTAGCAACAGCAGGTGCTGGATTTTGTTCCTTCAGAGTGAGTCTGGCCTAGGGCCCTGGCTTCCCACCCACACTGCACACACCAGTTCTGTGGAAATGGCTGGGCTCCTCCTCACCCCACCTCGGCCTGCGTAGCCGACTCTGGCCCAAAGATCGTTTCACCTGGGTCCAAAGACACAGAACAGGAGAGGAGATGCCTCAGAAGAGTACACTTAGGACCATACGTGGAACCAAGGTATTTTTAACGCCATGCTAGAGTTAAGTGAATTTTGAGTGGAGTTGCCAGAAAAAGTACAGGACAGCCTGTAAAATATGAATATCAGATAGCAACGAAATTTGTGTGCAAGCATGTCTACTTGCACTAAAAATTTCTTGTTGTTTATTTGAAATTCAAATTTAACTGAGAACCTTGTATTTTTATTTGCTAAATCTGTACCCTTTATCCTAAATAAAGTGATGATATCCAACCAAATAAAATGTTAATCCAGTTTAAGTGTCTAAACGCTGTTGATAGTCCAGTTTTAGTGACCATTTGCTTATTTTAAAGGTCTGCATTTTATAGTATTCCTAATTCATAGCATTTTGGGATCAGTGACTTTAATAGTATTGTTCATTTGATAGAATGTAAAGGATTTTAATAATGATTTGTGATCATTTATATAATTTATGTAATTGTAATTAAGCTTAAAGTACTTAAAATATGTATCCACCATATTTGAGAATAATTCTAATTGGTAGCAGGTTCTTTTTTTTTTCAAAGTGAGCCTGACAACCATTGAGAAAGACAGAGAGATTGAAAAACTGATTGGTTCAAAAGTATGATGATGTCTTTTCAGCATGTCTATCAAGAAGATGGTGATTGAAAAATCTGTGACAATGTCAACAAGGAGTGAGTCCCTCTTTTCTTTTTTTTTTTTTTTTTTGACCGGTAAGGGGATCACAACCCTCGGCACAGTGTGATCTGCGCCAGGCTCAGCCAGTGAGTGCACAGGCCATCCCTATCTAGGATCCGAACCTGCGGCCTTGGTGCTACCAGCGCCGCACTCTCCCGAGTGAGCCACGGGGCCGGCCCTGAGTCCCTTGCTATTTCACAAAGGCCGTAATTCCAGTGATGACAATATCTTCTTGTAACAAAGACAGTAAAACCAGAGGGGAAATTGAGTGGGAGGAAAGGGATTGGCATTGGAAGACTCCATGGTGACTGGAGAAAATAGGAAAAGATTTTAAAGTTTTCTATCATGGGGCACACTACGATCACTAGCTCTATCTCTTATTATGTTTTCTTTCCTCCTGTACTGACTCTGTTTCCCCAATGTCTGCTGGAAACCAGCAGGAACAGCAGAGTTTCCCAATACCAATATGTAAATCTGAGCAGCCCATGTCTAAACAGAGCAATGAGTTACTCAGTAATAACATAGTATAATAATAATAATAACAGCAAGCTCAGATACAGAGCAAGAGTGCCTTATCCCGAGTGGTTGATGACCGTGTTCCAATAATCCACCAAGGAAGTTTGTGTCCAAGGTTGAATGTGAAGCAAGAAACAAGACAGAAGCACTTTAGTCAGTGCAGTGAAAAAGTCACAGGATCAGAGTTCAGAATTTTGGACACAGCTCTGCCAACAACTAGCTGTGACTTTGGACAAATTCTTCAGTTTCTCCTCCTATAAAATGAAGAAGTTGAGCAAGGCTAAACTTGTAAGCTCCCTGTCAGGCCACACTCCAAAGAAACTTAATTCAATCACTTTTTTCCAAATCCCTCAATTCCCTTGCCCACCCCTTTTCCCCCTACCTACCTGGCGAAGCCCTGACCTTCAGTCAGTCCAACCATCTCTAATCTCTGCATCACTACCCTGCAAGTGGTTGAGAGCCACTAGAGAAAGTAGAACAGCCGAGAGGGTTAGTGCCAGCCCAGATCCACAGCCAGCAGCCTCGGTCCTCACAAACAAAGGTCCTCTCCTCGGTGCAGAGAAAACAGAAAACTCCCTGAAGTCCCTCCTGCCTGCCCTGCTGTCTCACTGCCGATGCAACGACTTCTTCCTCCTCCTGGATCAGCAGAAGATGGCTCTTGCCGTAGGTGGGGCTCCTTTGGTTACTGTTGCTCTAGAGCATAATTTTCTTCTCTTCTAGTTTCCTGGAGGATTCTGCCCTGGACACCCCAGTGAAGGTTCCCTAAGGTCATCGCCTGCCTTATTGCTATATTCAGTGGACACTTTCCAGCCCTCGGGCCTAACAGCATTTGCACTGAGTGTCTGCTCTGAAGTGTCCCTTCTTTCCCTTGGCTCTTATGATCTCCCTCCCACACCCCCCCTCTGCTCCTCCTCCTCAGTCTGTCCCTTAAATGTTGATATCCCCCACAGTAGTGTTTCAAGTTCTTTCCTGGTTCGGATGGTTGGATTCACTTACCAGCTGTCCTCATGTTTAACTTTTCCAAAATGGAACTAGTCACTATGCTGTCTAGACCCTCAGCTGTGGGTGCAGCAGGCAGCTCATCACCAATGTCAGAAACTTAGCACTGCCCTTAATCACCTTTCCTCTCACCTCAGATATAATTGGTCACTAAATCATATCAATTCCAGCCCTTTAATGTCATGTTCATTGTCAGGCAGATCAGATCTTGTCATCACCATGAACTCACCCATGACACCCCACTGAAAATCCAGGGCGAAGCTCACTTCTTTGCCGTGGACCTCAAGGCCTTCTAGAAGCCATCCTTTCCTTACCTCACTATTCTCATCTCAGCCACTTTCCTGTGTTGCACCTTCTATATTTTTGCTATAAACAAATGCCGTTGTCTTCAAAATGTGTCATATGTGTCCAGATGTCCCACTTCCAGGGCCTTTGTCTGTGCCTGTCCTGCTGCTGGAATTCTCTCCTCTGCTCCCTGTTTCAGCTGACTGACTTCTACGCATGCTTCAAGACACAGGTGAGTGTCTTCTCCACCAAATCTTCCTCGGTGCTCCATTGAATTAGTCTGATTTTGTGTTGCTATAACACAATACCTGAGACTGGGTTATGTACAAAGAACAGAGGTTTATGTGGCTCACAATTCTTGGACAGCTGCATCTGGCACAAGCCTCAGGCTGCTTCTACTCATGGTGGAAGGTGGCAGGCGACTGGTGGGTACAAGCAGATCACATGGCGAGAGGAAGCAAGAGAGAGAGAGGAGGTGCCAGGTCCTTTAAACAATCAGCTCTTGTTGGAACTAATAGAGTGAGAACTCACTCACTACCCCCAACCCTCAAGGAGTGCATTAATCCATTCATGAGGGATCCTCTGCATGACTCAAACAGCTCCCACCACTGCCACACTGGGGATCAGATTTCCACGTGAGTGCTGGGAGGACAATACATCCAAACTCCATCAGACGTCTAGGTTGGTGTTCCTCCCATGTGCTCCCCAAGAGGCTACTGCTTAATAAATACCATGTATCAGCTTCCTAGGGCTGCATAACAAGTTACCACAAACTAGTGGCTTAAAACAAGAAATTTATTCTCTCATGATTCTGGATGCTTCAGGTCTGAATCAAAGTGTCCCTCTGAAGGCTCTAGGAAAGGTTCCTCATTGCTCCCTCCAGCACCTGGTGTTCCAGGTAATCCTTGGCTTACACAGCATCAGTGTCTGTCTCCACCTGCATATGGTCGTCTTCTCTGTGTCTCTGTGCCCTCTCCTTTCCTTATAAGGACATCAGTCATTAGATTTAGGGCACACACTAATCAAATATGACCTCGTTTTAAGTAATTACATCTGCAATACCCCATTTCCAAATAAGGTCACATTCCAAGGTCTCAGTTTACATGAATTTGGGGGTGACACTATTCAACCTACTACATGTCATAACATTTTTTTTAATAATCGATGATACATGTTTGTGGGGTACAGAGTTGACTATCAGTATTTGTGTACAGGATGTGATGATCAAATCAGGAAAATTGGCACATTCATCATTACAAAATGTAAAATGTACTTTTTTTGCCACAAAACAAGTCTTGATACATGTAAAATGACTAAGACCATAGAAAATGTGTTCTCTAACCACAATAACAGAAGGATATTTAGAAAATTCACAAATGTGTGGAAATTAAACTATACTCTCCTAGTTAAACAATGGGTAAAAAGAAAAATCACAGGGAAATTAGAGAGCATTTTGAGATAAAAATCGAAGCACAACACATCAAAATTTTAGGATGCAGGCCTCATGCAGTGCTTAGAGGAAAATTTATAATTGTAAACACCTATATTAAAAATAAGAAAAATCTCAAATTAGTAATGTGAACTTCTACATTAAGAAAATAGAAAAAGTAGAGCAAACTAAACCAAAAGCAAATGTAAGTAGGGAATAACAAAGCTTACAACAAAAATATATAAAATAGGGAAATAAAAAACAACATAAAAAATCAACAAAACCAAAAGTTGATCCTTGAAAAAGATTTTAAAAAATTGCAAAACTTTATCTAGACTGACCAAGAAAAAAAGAGAGAAGATCAAAATTACTAAAATCAGAAATAAAGCAGGAGCATTATTACATTGTCATTAAGGTTTTCTATGGTGGTAAGATTTAGTTTTTTTCTCTTTGTCATTTGCATTTTTGTTCTACCAGTGGGTTTTGTTCTTTCTTGTGTATTTGTGGTAGTGATTATCATTTTTCAGATTCCAGATGCAGGAGTTCCTTGAAGATTTCTTGTAGGGCTGGTGGTGTGGTGGCAAACTCCCACAGTTTTTGTTTGTTCGGAAAATACACTATTTTTCCCTCATTTCTGAAGGATAGCCTTGCTGAATATTCTTGGCTGGCTTTTTTTTATTTCTCTTTTAGTATTTTAAATATATCATCCCATTTTCTTCTGGCCTGAAGAGCTTCTGTTGAGAAGTCTGCTGTTAGTCTGATAGGAGCTTCCTTATAGGTGACTTGACACTTTTCTCTTGCTGATTTTAGGATTCTCTCTTTGTCTTTGAACTTTGCCAGTTTGACTATAATGTGTCCTGGAGAGGATCTTTTTGGGTTGAATCTGTCTGTGGATCTTTGAGCCTCCTGGATCTGAAGGTCTGTGTCTCTCCCAATACCTAGGAAGTTTTCCATTATTATTTCTTTGAATAGATTTTCATGTCTTTTCCTTTCTCCTCCCTTTGTGGAATACCCATGATTCAAATGTTTGTGTACTTAAGGTTGTGTGCTAGACGTCTTAGATTTTTTTCATTTTTTAAAATTCTTTTTTCCTTTTCTTTGTTTTTGGTCCACCTGGGTTTTTCAAAAAGACTATCTTCAAGATCAGAAATTCTTCCTTCTGCTTGTTCTAACCTGCTGCTTAAGCTATCAGTTGTGTTTTTTATTTTGTTCATGAATCTTTCAGTTCCATGAGTTCTGCTACATTCTTTTGTAAGGTAGTAATCTCTTTGTAAATTTCCTCCTTCATATTCTAGATTTTTTCTTCTCATTTCATTATGTTATCTAACTGAGTCTTCTCTTATCTCGGTGAGTTTCCTTAAGATTGTTGCTTGGAATTCCTTTCCAGTCATTTCCAGGGTTTCCTGCTCTACAGGATCTGGTATTTGGGAATTACTGTGTTGTCTTGGTGGCATCATATTTTTGTATTTCTAGTATCTCTACTTTGATGTCTGGTCATCTGGTAGAGCAGTTGCTTCTTCTGTTACTCTGGAATGGGCTTTGAAGAGAGAGTTGTCCTCTTCTTTTTCTGGTCTCCACCAGTGACTCTCCCTGTGTCAATACAGCCATGTCTTTGGTGGGCTGCCTGCACAGTGGCTGTGGTGGGCCACCCACACGAAAGTGGTGTTTTTGGCATACTCCCTTAGTTGCTTCAAGGTTGGGGATGCTGCCTACAGCTCCTGCTTAGGCCCCAGGGTGCTGCTTTCTTGCCTGCTTCTGGGTGGAGGTAGAGGACTGTCCTTGACTCCTGTGTAGGCCCATGTTATAACATTTAAAAGACTGTAATGTAGCAGTCAATTTATTTTCCTGTTTCCCCTGCTGAACAATGAGGTCTCTGAGGACAGGACCATTTAATACACATCTTTAAATTTTTGCTATCTAGTCCAATATCTGGCATACAACAGAAATTTAAAATGTTTTTGAAAGTTCAATGATCTGCTTCTATTTCATCCTCTTTTAGCAATTAAATTTCCCCTAATTTGATACACCTGACCTCTTCCTACCTCAATTTTACTTGTACTACACTTTCTGTTGTTTTGTTTTTATCCCATCTTCAGTACATCACTTTTAATTCTGTCCTGTATAGTTCCTATAAAACATGAGGATTCCAAAAATAGAAGCAGAGAGAGAAGCAGATAGAGATATGGGGTCAAAAAATGAAAAATAGATGGGAGAATGGCATAGTTTATTATGGAATATCTGGTCCTCTAGATACTTCCCCAGTGTTATATTGCCAGAGCTTCTGCACTTATGATTCCCTAAGTTTTCAATATCATAGGGCCGGCCCGGTGGCGCACTGGAGAGTGCGCCGCTTGGGAACGTGGTGGCACTCCCACCGAGGGTTCGGATCCCATGTGGAGACTGGTTCCCGCTCACTAGCTGAGCGCGGTGTGGGAGCAACACCGAGGGTTGCGATCCCGTTGCCGGTCCCCGGTATGGGCGCGACACCGAGGGTTGCGATCCCGTTGCCGGTCCCCGGTATGGGCGCGACACCGAGGGTTGCGATCCCGTTGCCGGTCCCCGGTATGGGCGCGACACCGAGGGTTGCGATCCCGTTGCCGGTCCCCGGTATGGGCGCGACACCGAGGGTTGCGATCCCGTTACCGGTCAGTAAAAAAGACAAAAAGGAAATAAATAAATAAATATCATATAAAGTTTCTAGTTGCCTTGAACACAGGGATTTCAAAAAGATACTTTATTAGTATTACTATGAGTATGAGTTTAAGTGTAAGTGTGAATATTAGTGAAGATACAGGCTAAGCCTCTGTAATAAAGAAACTAAAAAAAAAATCCCAAAACACTGGCTTCAGCAAACTAGAAGTCTATTTGTTATACAATAGCCATGGCCAGATAGTCCAGGGAGGCTGGGATGGTGATCTGCACCCTGACCCAACTTCCTTCTGTCTAGTTGCTCTGTCCGATATGGCAGCCACTATCCACTTGTGGATATTGAGCTCTTGAAATGTAGCTACTCCAAACTAGGATATGCTGTAAGTATAAACTAGACATCATATTTCAAATACTTTGTATGAAAAAAAGAATGTAAAAGATCTCATTAATAATTTTATTTTGGTTACATGTTAAATAATATTTTGGATGTATTGAGTTAAATAAAATGTTATTACATTTAATTTCATCCATTTTTTAAAAGTTTAGAAAATTTTAAATTGCATTTGTGGTTTACATTACATTCCTTTCTTTCTTTTTTCTTTTTAACTCTCCACAATAAATTTGTTGGGAAAGCGCTAGAGATTTGGTAACATGTATAGTAAGAAAGAGATAAGATTACATAGTAGGGCTGGCAGGTTAGCTCAGTTGGTCAGAGTGCAGCCTTATAGATTTCTTTTTCTTTTCTTTTATTAATATTATTTTTTTACATTCTATGATGTTGTTGCAGAGCAGCAGGGAGGGAGGAGGAGAAGGGAAAGGGGAAGGAAATATGAT